CAAAGCCTTCCTCTTACAGTTAACTATTCCACAATTGTTGGTCGCATCTAACAGGATCGTCTGCTGGACCAAAACCAGACGCTAAGAATAGGCCGACTTTCGCCTCCTGCAAAGTAGTAAATCGACGAGCTATTGGCTGAAGAATAATGGGACATCATCGTGCGCCGCACTTCTATAACAAGCTCTTGCCCCAACCAATTGCTCGTAGATTGTCTCGAGGCTTAGTTCTTTGAGAAAAAGGAGAAACACGCTACTGCGTGTCTCCGCGTTCCGCTTCTTTGAGCCCCGCAGCACCATCATTTCAAAATCGGTTGGGCCTACGAGCACCGAAGCATCGTGGTCAGCCAGGCTTGAAACTATTGCAAACTATTACTCAAGCATATAGGGTGTATCGACTCTATTTTATGATAAGGGGACTGTTAGTTGAGTTTTCTCACAATGATCTGAGTATATCTTACTTTCCATTGGATTTCACATAAGCTCGCATTCGCAAAAGGTACCCTGATCCAGAGTATACTGCCGTTTCGTCCTCGTCTAGGTCTCATCGGCGGCGTGTATTCTCGACACGTTAACAACATTACCACGAGTGCTTTTGGGTCACAGGGTAGATGTGAATTTCAAGGAATGTAAGGCATTTTTCATATCACATTGTTTGCTAGGAGTATCGACGAAGCGTATTTATATTTGCTTTAGCAAATACCTCTAAAAAATTTACTTATAAAATAAATGAAAGAACTCAAACGACCGTGTTTTTAGGTCACCGTCTAGAGAACCCAATGCGACATCCCATCAACGCCTCAACTTCGCTTTGGGCCCTTACGCGGCATCTAATCACTGCTCCATTTCTCTGTTTGGCCTCCTATGCCTCACCTCAAGATGACTTTCTATCCTTTCTAAAGCTATACAACTTTTTTACTATAGATCCATTTTTTACTCATATCAATCTGTCTCAAAACTTGTCCAATTCGTCAAGGAGCATAGTTCAAAAAATTTAAAGAATCCGAAATAATCTGAAACTCAGCCTGATTTGCCTAGCAAACTTGCATTGTAAATATTTTTGCACCAAGCTTTATAGCCATAGACTAGTATGATGATCTTACAGGAGCATGAGCGTAGCAGTACATTAGAATGTTGGGCGTAGCCGACCCTGATGAATCTGCATTCAATGCATCGTATAAACGAAGTCGTTAGATCAAGGAGCCATTCTTATGAAAATAGTGCGTCAACCGCGTTTTCAACTGTACATCATTGGAAAGGGGTTTTCCTCTGTCCCGCATCTGAGCGGGACTTTAGATTATCGCGCAACTTTAGGCGGCTGCATTCACTGTAACAATATGCATGGGCAACTGTTGATATGTGTGAAGGTGTTAATGTGTCCCATGTTTATCAGTGCCGTAAGTGT